GGACGTTCGACCGCATCGAGAGCTGATTCCCGCTGAATCGCGCTGATAGCATCACGTATAGCGCGGCAGCGATAATCTTTCTTTCGTGTTTCCGCGGGGGCGGAATGGGTTTTCACAATTGCGTGGAAAAATACAAGCGAGCCGGCGCGCTGACTGACAGTAACAGCGCTCTCCGCTGAGAGAGCGGAGGAGAGACCTGAGAGGGATGAGCGATATTTTGTCGCTCTGATGACGTATTTGCTCATGCCTGGATTCTTTTATCTAGACGAAAACGGGGGGGTAACGGGGAGGGTAACTCTCTCACTGAAGAAGAAACGCTCCTGCGCGTGCTTCTTCCAGGCGGACACGTGTGTGTATTTCGTCGCGCGGCAAGTCGAGCTCTTTCTCGCGCGCGTAAAAATAGCTTCGAATAAAGGCGCGTTATTTAACCGCCCACCGGGTACGTATCTTCTCCATCTTTTAGGCGTTTCATCCAGTACGTCAGCGTATACTCGTGGGTGTTTGCGCCCCTCGGGACGCACTCGTCCCTCCGACGAAATCGTGTCGTATCCTCTCAGACGATCCGACCGAGACGCGCGCCGTCGGCCTCGGTCGTTCTCCGCTCGGCGTCCCGCCCTTCGCGACTCGCGATCTCGATCCAACAGGTTGAAGAGCCTCATTGTCCGTGGGCTCTCGCGGGGGGAGGGGGAGGCCGGCTGGGGGGGTGGCTGTTTGTTCTGGCCGATCCGGAGACCTCGCTCGTGCCCGACCGCTGGATCCGGTCCGCTGAATAAACTCGCAATTGCGCGAAACGCCGCGCGGTATAGGACTCGCTTCGAGTCCTCGGCAGAGTCCTCAGCGCGGGCGAAGTTTCAACAGGACGAGTAAATCGGCTCGCGGAGGGTCTGGCTGACACGACATTTGCGCAGCTCGTGAAGATATTGCGCGCCGCGCGTCCGGCGCTGAAGCGAGGTCTTTGAGGACGTCGCCGGGAGCTGATTTTCGCTGAGCGGTTTGCGCTGCTCGCGAGTTCGCTCAACTCGCCCTCCCTCCCTCCTTCTCTCCTTTCTCTCCAGCTGTCCTAGCCGGAGCTCCTTTGTGGAATCAGCCGCGGAAGTTATTGGCTTTTAATTTTCGTATTACATCGCGCAAGCCTCAGCGGCCCTCCCTCCTCCCCCCCTCGGGCTCGGCCGGAGGCACGTGCGTGGGCTGTGCTTTAATATAATGACGTAGTAGACGCGTGGTAATTGCGTTACTTACACGCGACGCAATTAACCGAGACGTTAAGCAGCGAGGGACTGGCAGGCAGAGCGACTTGCGACACGACGGGATCGCGATGAGGTCGTCGAGAGAGGAACTTACTCACTCGGTCGCTCGCCGCTCCTGCGGGGCGCGTTGTTTTCGGGGGCAAACTCGCGCGGGTCCGACGAACGAGCGGGAATTAATTTGTCCACTTGTTCGCTGTCAAATCGGGAACTTCTGCTCGGTGAAGTTGATAGCACTCGGGTTCTCTCCCCGTACCTCTGCTTCTCGCCAACTTTCGTTCCAAGTCCAAAATGCAGAACCAGTCTCGCCGTGTCTCGCTCGCTCTCCCGATTGTCGCGCGGCCGACGATGATGCGTTTCGATCGAGCCCGACGTGCAAGCTGCGATATCGCGACGGGTGGAAGCGTCGTCGTCGCGCGTGGGTCGGCAGATGTCACGCGCAAGGAAAGAATTCGTCGACGTCGCTGGCTTTCTGCCAGCATCAGTCGGTCGTCGGAATTTGTTCGCGTGTCGAAATTTGTCACCGTTCATTCGACGAGTTGTCTTTTACTGCCGATGATAATATCCTTTGTATTACCGTACATTTATCACGTATTAACCGCATGCACTCGGAATGCCAGCACAGCTGGCATGAACATTCATTCACCGGCAGGTCGGAGTGCCAGGTGTGCTGGCATGGGAAAGATCTCAAGGCAGAAAGCAATGAGACGATAAAATGCGGCGACAACAACGGTGTTACATTTTAGAGGACTGCGAGATGTGAAACTTTGTAAATTTTGTCAATAAATTTATGTATAAACGATAAATTTTCCTGCTCTCAGCTAAAAAGTAATCGCAAACTTTTATGACAAATTATACTTATATAAATACCGATATTGGTGGAAGGAAATATTCCGCGAGAGTGCAAAAAGTTGACCCTTTGCGGAGAGACGCCGGTGCGAAGTTTATTATAATCTTGTTTGAAACAGAAAATGCTCTCGACTCGCCAGGAATCAGTCGAAAGAGTTTTCTCCCTTCACATTACTCCGCGCAACCGTTGCAAGATTTTTCTTGCAAACATCCTATAGGCTTCGTCCAATCAGGCTGAGGAATCTTGCAACAGTTGCGATGCGGCTTTCTCCGCCGTGCACAACCAACGATATCGCAAGGACGACATATTACGAGAAAATGACGAGCCGTCTTTTCCGCCTTTTCCGGCGGGGAAGGAAAGGCTCAAGAGCCATCCGGGGCCGGTAAAGAAACTCAGAAACTCGGTGGCGATTGCCGATCGATGAGCCCGATTGTCAGGATTGTCATCCGCGGTCGAAAATGGGCCCCGGCGTGCTGTCATTTCCATGGCAACGATCGAGCCGGAGAGGACACCCTGAATTATTGCGGATTAATTAATCATTCAGAGGCGCGCGTGTTGCGTGCGCGCGGCGATACGAGAGAGAGAGAGAGAGAGAGAGAGCGTGTCGCCCTGATCGGCCGAGGGTCTTGGAGTATTGCGGAGTAACGTTCTCGACCTTGAGAAGACGCTGTTAGAAGACGCGGAATGATCCCGGGGGATCGCTCCCGCGCAAACACAGCCAGCCGCGATACGACACGATAGCAGGTCGAGCTGCTCTAGTCCAAAGTGTGTCACTTGGGGTCTCACGGGGATAGGCCTCGAGCTACCGCTTCCTCGATGTTCCTAATCTATCATCGTTTCATTATTAAGCGGGCGATTAAGGCGCGATCAAAGTCGCGATGCGACGAAACGGAAGACGAGAGAGGCCTGTTTTGTCCAGCGCTGCGCTGAAACTCTGTCGCTTTGCTCTTCGATGCAAATTTGTCTACTTGTTTCGCACCCCGGTGGCCAAAAGTGCAGGCTAAGACCCCGAGGAGGACAGCTGTGTATCCCCCCTCCCCCGCTCTTTACACAGATGTTTTGTCCTCGTCTGGCTCTCTCCGATGGGACTGGAGTCAGACAGAGACAGAATGTGCCTGTGATGTAGGTTGTGTTCTTCTCAGATTCTGGGTTCTGGGTCGCCCCGGTAAGGATCTTCGTAAGGATCTTCGCGGAGGGACCGATAGTTTTGTTCACGGAAACTCTACTCTCGATAATGTCCAGATAATGGCTATTTCTTCCTCGGTGACGAAAAAACAAAATCGAGTTGCATTCGGGGGAATATGAGATATCGGCTGTGAGTCCTGCGCGAAAAGATCCTTGTGTACTTTTACGGCGCGGAAGAAGCAAACTCAAATCGCGGAGACCGACCGCGTGAGACTTTGTCAGCTATTTCTCGGTTTCTTTCTTTCTCTGAATTTCACTCGTAGTATTTCCCGTAGCCTCCGCAAATGCTTATTGATCTTGCGATAACAGGAGCTATCGATTTTTCTGTTTCAGGTGAGTGTCTGAACTTTATTCCACCATCAGCGTTTGATTGCGCTGCGCCGAGCGTGTCATCGTCGTCTCACCGTAAGTCGATATTTCTACATTTCACCTCGGCCGCGCAGCGCGTAATTTTGCGGCTGATAACACGCGCTTCCCCCCTTATCAACGCCGCTGCGTCGGTACGACAGATTCCCGGCGCAGTTGCGCGCGCGCGGTACCGACGGCTACACTTCGCGGCCGACTTCGCAGTAGCCGACGGTTACGCGAAAAGCGCGACTGATAACGGCTCGACGTGAAGCGCGGCGCGGAGTTGAACCCGCAAGCTGAATCGATGAGCGAGTAACAATTGAATAATTCACGCGAGGCAACGTGAAGCGAGTCTGCTCTCGAGCGAGAGACTGGCCGCCGCTCGTCGAGTGAGAGAGAGAGAGAGGGAGAGCTTCAGCCGTTAACGTGCCGACCTCGACGCCGCCATTGCGAGATAAAGGCGTTAATCGGGCATGGCCTTATCGCTGGCGGCAAGAGCGGATACTTACCTTGCCAGTATTAATTTTTCACCCCCGCCGTTTGCACCAGCAGTGCCGATTTGACGTGTGTCGCGCGCGCACACAGCGGCGGCCGGCTTTGTGCAAATTTATACGATCGACTTTGCGTGTTACGTCAAACTCTCTGCTGCGGCGCGTGTCGTTTCGTCGCGCAGCCCCCGCTGATTCTTCTTCCCGCTGTCTCATCGATAGCGCGCGTTTCCCAATTTCACGCCGCGCCGGCGCGGCTGCATCTATCTTCATCTATCTGCTTTCAAGCTGCGGAGGTATGGAGATTACCTTCTTTTCTCCGATCGTCGGTTCCCCCTCGCGCTTTGTCCGCCTTCACGCGGTCAAACTGACAATCACGACGGCAACTTTCGGGGCTGCGCAACTTTGCGATTGTGCGGAGATCGCAATTTGCCGGCTCGCGTGGAATCGCGCGGAAATAGAGTCGCCCGCGGGATTCCGGCGCGCGAGTTGCGCGCCTCGACCAAAGCTGCCGATTCGACGGAAGATAATTGGCGGAGTTGCGTCGACGTTGGCGAAGTCTCGCCTCGTCGTCGGCCTTCGTCAGCTCGAAGAGAGAACCTCGGCGGGAGAATCGATCCTCGTCCGCTGACACGCAAAGCTTCGACTCACTCGCGACCACCGACTTGTGGCTCGAAGGAGGCTTTCGTGACGTCAGTCCTCCCACCTTTGCGAGCCGCCGCCGCCGCCGTGACAGCTTATTGCATCGATTTCAACGTATACGTACGCGGCGCTCGCGGATTCACCCCGGCGCGCGGATTTCGCGCGTTCGCGCCACTTGCCGCGCGCGACCTCTCGAGGTCGCTCGAGGACGTCGCGCAGGAGGAGCAATTCTCGGAGCCACTCTTTTGCCGTGTCTGTCGAATTCTTCCTTTATTATTCGTGTCGTACAAAATGCCTATCTAAGTTACGGAGCTGAGGTATATTCTTCGTCGGCCGCACCGGGGCGGGGGAAGGGGGAGGGGGCCTGGCCGCTGTCGCTGCGTGTGGCGACTTTCGGTGAAATTTCGCGTCTCTCTCTCTCTCTCACTCTCGGGAGATGGATGGTAATACCGTCACTCGAAGGTGCACAAGGCCGCGACGCGACGCGATCGCGTTCGAACGCGAGAAACTGCTGCGGAGAAACGCCGACGGCGAAGAAGCGACTGCTGCGAGCGTGTGCGTGTAAAAAAATAGAGCTTTATTTGGCAGCGCGCGGAACTCGAGTCGCGCGCGTTCCGCACGTTCGACCCGCACAGACCACGCCGTCGAGGAGCGCCGTCTACGAACGAAGTGTGCTGCGATTGTGTAGTCGCGCGGGGGGGGAGGGGGGGAGAGGTGCGAACGGTGTTCACCATTTCTTCAGCGTCGTCGCCGGGTACGATGTGTATCCGTTGTAGTAAGGACCGCCGTAGCTCGTGCCTACGTGCTCGACGCCGGTCAGCAGGCCGGTGGAGCCCAAGGTGGAGCCTACGTGTTCGACTCCGGAGACGAGGCCGGTCGAGCCGAAGGTGGAGCCGCCGATGTGGTGGTGGTGGTCGCCAGCGGTCAGCAGTCCGGAGCCGAGGTGTTCGCCGCCGAAGTCGTGGACGATGCCGCTGGTGATGCCGCTACCGATGCCGGAGCCGAGGGCGGCGTAGTCGTGGTAGTCATGGTAGTTGTGGTAGTTGTGGTAGTCATGGCCGGAGGCGACGGGCAGGGTCGCGACCGACGGCAGGGAGATCGGCACGTGCTTCGTTACGGACACTGGAACCGGCACAGGCTGCGGCACCGGTACCGGTACCGGCTGCGGCACGCGAACCTCCACCGGCTGTGCCACCGGCACGGGGTACGGGCGGTCGACCTTCACGGGCACATGGCGCGTAACGGGGACCGGCACCGGTTGCGGGACCGGGACGGGGTACGGGCGGTCGACCTTGTAGGGGACGGGGTGCGGGACGGGCACGTGCTTGGTGACTTGCACTGGGACCGGCTGCGGCACCGGTACCGGCACCTGGACCTCGCGGTGGACCGTGACGCCGGTGATGCGCTCGGTCTTGGCGTGCGCGAGGTTGCCGCCGATGCTGCCGGCGTGCAGGCTGATGCCGCTGTGCAGATCGCCGGAGCCGAGGCCGTAGCCGTGGCCGTAGCCGTAGCCGTGGCCGTAGCCGTGGCCGTAGCCGTGGCCGTAGTCGGAGCCGTAGCTGGCGCCGGAGCCGAGGCCGTAGCTCAGTCCGGAGGTGTACGCGTTGCCGAGTCCGCTACCGAGGGAGTTGTAGGAGAGACCCAGCTTGCTGCCGAGTCCGGTTCCGTATCCCGCGGCGTAGCCCGACAGACCGATGCCGTTGCTGTAGCTGGACAGCCCGGCGTCGCCCAGCAGCAGGCTTCGCTTGTCCTTTAGGTTAGACTCATCCTTCTTGGGAGCCGCCAACACGGCCGTCGCCAGTAGAACAATCTGCGCAGTCGGGAAGAGACAGTCGTTAGTCGTTAGTCGTGCGTCGTCGCAGTTTGCGACAGACGGCCGACAGGATTCGCACATTCGGAGCTCTCGAGATAGATCCGAAGTTTGTCACGTCGACTGATTCGGCGCGAGAATCAGCGCTCGCCTCGGCGTCGTCGTCGTCGTCGTCGTCGTCGTCGTCGTTGCGCGGTACCGTCGGTTGAACGCGCGACTTGTCTCGCGACTTGTCGGACGCGGCCGGCTAATGAAGATATCAAAGAGCGGGGGAGATCCCGGCGAGAGGCACTTACCGCGAAGCTCCTCATCATTGTCCTGCCCGTGGTGCCTTCGGATCGAGTGTGTGCCATTCGCCCGGCCGGCCGGCGTTTTTATACGCAGTGTCCACTTGCCGATGTATGCGATTACTTTCACTGAAGCGCCGAAGAACACGCCCTGCTCCGCGATCCGGCCGATTATTCTTCTGCAGCCGGCTGGCCGGTTGGGCGATCGCTCGCGCTCGCTGGTCCATCCGATCCTCTCGTGACGTAACGGCAAAAGTCGTCGCTCGCCTCGACGGCCGAAACGGGTCCGATTCCGCGTTATTACGACCGTTACGTGTGTAATTGTCTACACGACTCTCGCGCGCGCGCGCGCGCGCGGTTTCTTCGCCGTCTCTTTTTGCAAAGGGCCGACTTTTACCCGGCCGAGACAGGGAGAGAGAGAGAGAGAGAGAGAGAGAGAGAGAGAGAGAGAGAGAGAGAGATTTGCGACCGACCGGGGCGAGCGACGATCGACCCGCGCGATAACTCGTAACGAGTAAAAGGGACGACAAAAAAGCGATAGCGACGAAATTCCTCGGTGTTATGCAACGTCGCGCGAGGACCTCCGTCGCGTCGCCGAACAACATAGTTCACCTTCGGCGTGGAGTCGCTCGTCAGCGCGACTTCGGGCGATCTCCCGGACGTCTTTGTGTCGTCGCCGTTGCTCCCTCGCCGGAATTGCGCAACCTCGCGACCGGCCGCGACAATTAAATCTGTATCGCGCTCGCGAGGAGTCTCCCGAGGATCCTCCCGAGGATCCTTATCTCGGCTCCTCCTCGGCATTGTGTCGCGTGCGCGTGTACCTCGGCATATCCGGCCGCTGGTCGTGTGGCAACCAGTCGTCGCGATTTGCATACCGTGTGCTATCGGCGGGCGCGCTTCTTCCTCCCGGATACCCCTCGGCATACCTCGGCATACCTCGGCGACGAAATTGGCATTTACACGTTTTGCCCACACGTGCAAATCCGGTATGTTATTTTAATAGCGATCATTCGACGGCGCCCGCCGTCTCCCCGGCGGCATACAAATTACTTGATTCCGGCAATTAACAGAGAGTCTCGCAGGCACCGTGGGCTCGCAAACACGCGCGACGCGTCCCGCGAGAGCGCGCCTCGTCCCTCGGCAACAATCGCCGAAAATATCGTTACATAAATCTCCGCCGCGCGCAGGCGGCATCGAGGAAAACATCGAAATCCTCCCTGCATAATCGCTATCAGAAAAAAAAAAGAAAAAAAAAGAAGAAGAAAAAATCGCAGCGCCGGCTGCTTTTTATTTATTTTTTTGCTTGCTCCGTCGCAATTCGCCTCGGCAAAACTCGGGCCGGCGAATCCGAGAGTGCTCGCATTTGCATCGTTTAATTTCTCAGCCAGCCGAAGGGCGACGCGCAACGCGCTCGCTCGCTCGCTCGCTCGCGAAGCATCGCTCTCGCTCTCGTGTTTTTTCATTCATTTATTTCATTTCATCTATTCATTTATGTATTTTTTCAGAGCCACAGCCGGGGCGCGTATTTATCGCGTCGCGGCCGGCGTCGTCGAAACGCCTCTCTTCCGCCTCCGCTTGACCCCTCGTAAATCTGCCGCCGCGTCGCGTAATAACTCGCGCGGCTCGCACTTTCGTAACTCGGCCTCTCGTCCTCGTCCTCGTCCTCGGGGAACCACCACCGCCGCGCAGGTGCCGCGAAAATGCGCTTTTTCTAATCCGCGCGACGGCGAGAGCTTGTTGTCGCAAGGCGACTCGCCACGACGACGGAAATATCCGGAGTTCGTGGAATTCCGCCAGGAGCGGACAATTAAGACGTTCGGCGGAATTACACCGGTTTCTTCTCCTTCTCCGCCCGCTGGCTCCTTTTTCGCCACTTTAGCCTGTCCGAGGCTGTCTGTCTGTCTGCAAGCAGACCGGAAAATGTCTATTTGCGGATCGTCCAGCGACGTCATCGCGATCAAGCGGTTCACCGCACCGGCCACAGCGGATAACAGGCTGTTAACTCGGAGTCTCTCTCTCTCTCTCTCTCTCTCTCTCTCTCTTTCTTTTTCGGATCGACGTGGATACTCGCGGTCGGTCGTGAAGAGTCTCATAATGCGAGCAGCAAGAAATCCTCCTTGCCCAGTCCACCCCGCCGTTATCTGCATACGCAACGCGCGCGCGGATTTAGCAAAGAATTAATCAGCCGGCCGCTGATTTGTATTGCAAATCGGCAGACCAGGATGTGAAATATTATTCCGCGAGTTTCGTGCATCTCCTCCACGAGTACTACGTAGCACAAGTGTGCTCCCGCTTCTGCGAGTCTCCTTCCACGAGCGAGTTTCCGAACGGCGGAGACTCTCGAGGACGTGGAAGACGCGAGGGAGAGTTAGCGGGGAAAAAGGGAGAATAGGGAGGATGATAGAAGGGAACGACGAGTCCCGGCCGTTGTCTGTTGCGCGAGCCGGGTTCACCTGCTGATTTCCGGAGGGAATCCGGCCGAGTTTTACGGCACCGATCGCCGCTCGATCGATTTCGTTCGCGGCCCTTCAGCGGCAGATCGTCGACCTGCGTTCCGTCGACGGCTCAGTGCGCTCGTTACCTGAAAGTAATCGGGAGCATCATCCGGCCGGGACACGTGCGGCTACTTTCCGCCACTTTATTCTGGCGGAATTTATTAGGTAATCGCGAAAGGGTTCGTGCGGTTCTTTATATTGAAAATTAAACAAGGGCCGAACTTTTCAGAAGAAATATTACAATTGACACATGAATAAGTAGTAACTGACAACTCTTCGTTATCAATAACGAAGAGTCTTTCTGAACGTGGGTGTATCTTCAAGTAATTAATTGTCGGAAGAAAATTTTTTCGACCGCTTCTGCACGGTCCGTTTTACAATAAATCTTCCCCAAACGCTCCGCGTATCTTGACCTCCGAGTTTGAATTTATAAAACAAACATGTTCGAATTATCGATTTGACAGATACCTGAGCCCTTCGCACTCGGAATGCCAGCACAGTTGGCATGAGCATTTATTCCGGCAACTCGAAATGCCAGCTATGCTGGCACGGAAAAAATTCGGGAAAGGCTTCATTCAATAAATTGTTTAAATCACGCTTTAAAAAGCTGCAAGATGTAAAATGTTATAAATTTCAATGTTTCCTTTTTTTTCTCAACTAAAAAGTAACCGTAAACTTTTCATGACGAATTATATCTATAATTATCGAGTTGGTGGAACGGAAATGCGGAAGTATTCTTCGGGTGCAAAGGATAAAAAAGGTGAACGCAATCCAAGAGGCTATGCCACGGTAAGACCCACAGATCGACTGATGTACAAATCTGTGCTGTATGATACGCATGAGCACAAGATTCATCGACCAATTGCAAATCGAAAAATCAAATAAAAACAGCAAGTCTTCGGTCACCTAATACACATTCCGGCCGAATGTGTTCCGCCTCGAGCAGCGCTCATTCGATTCCCGTTTCTCGAGACAGCGGGTCTGCCGCTGCTCGGCGACTCGGTTACGTGATACATTTATCGTTTCGTTCAGTTTTTGCCTCTCATTCAAGTGTCGATCGCACGGCGACGAGCCGAAAACTGGCTGGAACATGAGCGCCGCGCCCCGCTGCATCCAAATTGCTCGCGTTAATGAGATATGCGCTCGCGTAAACTGAGAGGGTATAAATTGCGTTGGCCAATCTCCGTTTACATAATGACGAGTGGGTATTGGCGAAAACCTCCTCGCCGGCCTCCCCCCTTACCGGCCGGAATTATGCAATAATATATATTGTTGGATTCATAGATACAGGCGAGGCTCTCCTCGAACGTGGTCTGTCTGTCGCATATTTGTCCCTAGGAATAATTCCCTTTTCCCTTCGCGCATCCGCCAGTCGTTGATTTATCGTAGTCCAGTGTGACGTTTCTCTCATTTCGTGACAAATATCGCGTTCACATAGTGACACAAAATCTCTCTCTCTCTCTCTCTCTCTCTCTCTCTCTCTCTCCTCGTTCTCTAGAACCGTATAGCGACTTCACTCGGCAAGTCTCCATTCTCCCGAAAGTGGCTCTTTCGAGCATCGGCGATCGCTTTAATATCCTGATATATCATAATATTCTCTATAATATCCTGAATCAATTTACTCAAGACCTGTTCCTGTTAAACTTCTGTGTAACTGAACAGCTTTTGGCGTACTATAAACATAAGGAATAGGAAGATAAATTATGTAACAATTTAATGACTTTAAATATGTATATCTCTAGGCCGTAACGATTTAAAAGTAAACGACGGCTATTCAAGCCGACGTAAATATTGTATTTTTTAAATAGCAAAAATTAATGATTTTAGGGCGGTACTTGTAAGTACCGACAGGAATGCAGAAGCAAGACACGGAACAAGAAATTGAAAAACATATGAGCGTTTATGCAGAGCGGTTACTTTTGAGTACCGTCAGGATATAAAGGGTTAATTGCCAATCACACCCCCGCCCCCTCTCTCTCTCTCTCTCTCTCTCTTTCTTTCTCTCTTCCCCTGTATTCTCCATGTATATTCGACAGACCGCGCGGCTGATTGGACCTTGGACCAGCGCGTTTTTCACGCGCCGCGCGGCGCACAGCGATCGGCGGTATTGCGTTTAATCGACAAATACCGTTTGTTCATGAGCTTTGCGGCTTCGATCGACAAATACGTTTCCCGCGCCGCGACACTTTTGCTTGTCGCGCGCGGTGCGTTCGTTCCGACCGCCAGCGGAATTGGCGCGCACTTAAAACGACTGTCGGGCGTTCGGTGGCGGCAGGTACAACAATGCCTGAAATACACACACACATACACACACGACACATTGTTTTAGACATTTGAATCGCTTTCCATCCAAGAAAAAATTGGATACGCGCTGCTCGGTCATTCCCAAAGCGCGCGCGGATTGACGTATGTAAATTATGGCAAATGCACTATCGATTGACATCGTAGGAAGAGGAGGAGGAGGAGGAGGAGGAGGAGAAGGACAGGGTAAGCATTAACGGAGAGGATTAAATCTGCCGCGTTAAAGGTCGTAGTTGCGCGAATGGCCAGTTTCGCGCCGCCGCCGGCCGGCTGAGCGGAATCATGGGCGCGTTCGACGACAATGGACGAAACTCATGAATATGAAAATTCG